CCATGTAGCATCAATTATGCTAATGCTAGCTGCCTGTCAGGTTCTCCATCCTGGCCACACCTCCGCTCTCTAACACCCCCTCCCCTACCCACTTAGATGCATTTTTCAAATTTCGCCTTGGGGCGGAGTTATCTTTTCACAGGGGGGTAAGATACACTTTAATTTCCATTAATGATCCATACGTATTGTTTAGATGTGGATGTGATGAGAACTCACAAGTAAAAACTAATATTCAAAGTTTGTTATTTATTATACATCAGATTTATGACAGCCCTGCATCTTTATTTGAACGTGTGTTAGGAGTATTTTTCCATGAGTGTTTGGATTATGTACTCATGACTGACATGTTCAGCACCTGAAGGTCATTCGTACATCCAGGATCCAGTCTGTAATGTGTCTGTAGTTACAGTGTTGCTCATCACATTTCACTGCATGAAAGTGACAAATGAACTCTGATTATTCTGTCATTTTATTATTTTTCTACAGTTCAGGCATGCATCTGTCTATATTTCTCTCTCTGCACACGTGTTGTCGTGTTTTTGTTGTTGTCCAGCTGACTGTAATTACTAACGAAACTGTTTTTTCCCCCGTTTTATTGATGTTGTAGTTGACTTGAAAGAATGTTAAACACATACTGTACAGCCAAGCAGCCGAGGGCCCGATAAGTCTGTTTACTTTACTCCCAGAGAGAAAACTGTATGTTCAGAGTTAGCAGAGAGACTGGAAAATCCACTCACATGTCTTTTCCAACATAAAGCTGACGTGCCGACTTGTTCACATGAACAGGAGGCTTTTGTTAGAGCTGTTTGTGGAGGATTGGCATATCTGCAAACCTTAACGTGAGCAGATAATTTATAATTAGCACAAAAAGTAAAGATATTTATGTTTGGTAGATTATTTCTTTGTTGTACCAATGCTTCTTAGCAATAAATCTAATATCAGACACCTGATCGGCAGCACCTGGAGGCAGAAGCTCAAAACAAGTGTCAAAAAGCAAAGCAAGCTGTTTGGCAGAGAAGACTTGGCAAAATTCATCTCTACTGTTCATCCCACAAATGCATGTTCCTTACAAATGTGGCGCCATTTAAAAGGGGAATTAACAGGGTTTTTAACGGTTTAAGGTTTATTGCCAAGAAGCATTGTTACAAAAAAGATATAATCTACCAAACACAAATTTCCTTACTTTTTGTGCTAAACTTAGAAACAAATATAAAAACTCTTTAGATTTAAAATTTTACCGTGAGGAAAATATCTGGGGATTTGTTGCTTTGTTTGCAGCTTTAGGGACTCAAACAAGACACAAATGTTTTAAGGTGAAAGTACAAAAATTACACACAGAAAACATTTTGAGATCAAAATAAAATCCTGAAACAAGAAATAAGCATTTCAGCTTTTATTTTCAGGTATTTCTAGCTTTATTTAATTGCCAGCTGTAATAATAGTTTAACAAAACAATCAATCAAGAGTTTCATTAAAATCCTTCCACAGGTTCATGAAATATTTTGCTAACAGCTGACATTAATTCTCACCTGATTTTAGTCGAATATCTGTAGAACTAACTGAGCTATGGCTCACACAGATCACATCAGTGGGAGATAATTACGTTTTGTTGAAGTAGATGTCATTTAGTCGTAAAACCTTGATTTACAACAGCGGAGTTTAAGTCTGGGGACTTTAGATTCGGCCGGTCTAAAAACCGTCCACTTCCTCCTGATGAACTCCTCGATTGTTRCTGAGGGTGTGGGTCTGGGCGGAAATCAGAACCACCCATCAGGTACAAGACAGATTAGTTTTGCTCACTAAATAAATGAGTTTTAGTCAAAGGTTATATTTTTGACATTTTATATTGATCTAAACAGAATGGAAATGACAGCTGAAACACTGGCCTCTTGTCTTAATGACAGACTCAAATATTTTTTGTTTACAGCAAAAATATAATTTACTGTGTATATTGTGGACATTATACAGCATCAGTTTGTTRAACTAATTCACAAAGTTGGTTTTCTTTTCAGCAGCTTTTTTATGCTCCAGTCTGTTTTTAAATGCTTTTTAAATGCACGGTTTTCTTAGAGAGAGAGGGGTGGGGAAGTCTATCCCTATTAATAGAAAAGCAACGTTTCTCTAATTTTAGATTGGCAGGTTGGAGCACTACTGACAGAACGGTGGTTGCTTGTTTTCTAGCTACACCCACAGATAGCTCCAGACTAACCAACAGCAAAAATACACAGAATGCACAGCTCTGTGGCAGTGTGTGTGTTTGTGTGTGTGCTGTCAAAACAGACCYGTGGGCTGAAAAGATAATTTAAGATTAGCAAGAAAAAGAAATATGTTATAGTTATCCCCTGTTTACAACTGCAGGGAAAGAAAAAAACATTCAGAAGACTAATTTTTAAAGAGGAAAAAGTGTCAAAAAGTGTTTAAATTATAAAAATATGCTGTGAAGTCAATTTCTAAATGTAAATAGATAGTGGTTCAGGCAAAACCTTTGTGCACCTGTTTGTTTTTTATCACATGGTTTTCTATCAGAAATATGATATCCCACACAGAAGTGCATGCACAGGAAGTGCTACAGCTAGCTGCTGCCACATTAATGGCTACATACTTTATAGAATAATTAGTTTTGACCTTATAGAAARGGGTTCAAGGAAAAAAAAAGCATTTCCTGGACAAGTTGGCATGAACCAATGCAAACCCAACACCTCCCAGCTGATTCTCACTCCCAGACRTCACCACGTGGCTGCTGCTGCTGCTGCTGCTGCTGCTGCTGCTCGCGTTACTTTAACTCCTCTGCAGATTTTTGTTGCACTCACACACTCCTCAGCTTTAATGCTTCTGACAGTCTATCTGGGCAGTGTGTTCCTMACAGACATGTGCGGGGTTTATTTTCCTGGCTCGTACGCCGCTTGTAATTTTCCATTCTCACCAGCTGATACCAACAAGGGCACATTAAAATGATCCTGTTCCCTTAAGTGTCCGAGCCAGCTCGGCTCGTGTTGATCCRTTTTGGACCCGGCCCACTCTGAGCTGACTTTTCAGCTGCTGGTACAATCTGCTGCTGCCTGTGAGATTCATGGTTTACTTCGAAAACACGAAACCTGACTTTGCTTTAGTCTTTAGTCTAAATACAAATAATGTTAAATACTTTTTAAAGAACTACTTTCTTTTTCTTTATTCTTTTTCATGAAACATACAGGACAAAAAGCAGCAGGTTTACCCAACTACAGACCTGTTTTTCTGTTTCAGTGACTCTGCTGTCAWTGTGACGAACATTGAGAAACTCACCCCACTCCCCCTGTTTTTCACACAAATTATACTCAATAATCCTTGAAAAGAACTCTCAGTACCCAACCTGACAGGCACAGTAAACAGTTCTGACTAGCACTCTACAAACTGAGTAACTTTTAGTCTTAAATACTYACATTTCCCTCATCATCAGTTGGATTGAAGATATTTATTAATGATTCTTCTGTCAGATSAGAGATGGGCAACATTTTATTTTTGTAGCTTAAGCAACTTAGTGAATTTGGAAAAATACTGAGCAGCACTGCTGTGGAGTTATGACTGGGGCACTTTGGGGCCTTTTCCCTCCTGACTGTACAATAGTTGGAKTGAATCAGATTCTAACTGGATTTGAATCTGAATATATTTGGGACTGAATTAGATTGCATGTAATTTGATTTAAACTGGACTTTTTTGTACAGTGCCTTAAGATKATTCTTGTTTACCAATGATAACAAGTTTGTAGCATAGTTAGAGATTTTAACCTCAACTGATGCTTGTTCCAAAACACTTGCATCATGAATAATGAATTAATTTTTCACTTTCTAATTAGAGCATTAACCTTTAGTCTAGTTCTTTAGGTTTCCTCCAAATAGCCACATCTTTCCTTTCACACAACTCAAAACTTATCTATATCTTTGTAAAATTATTATTTTTTATTTCAGGATTGTATTGTAAAGTGATGCACCGCCAGGCTTCCACTTGTTTAGCAAATCTATTTCATCTATRTGTACCTTCACGTATGCTTAGGTCTAGTTCAGGGGTCTTGTAACCTTTACAATCGAAAGAGCCATGTCTGCTCCTTGGCTCACTAATAAAATGTGTCCMGCAGCAAAACAAGCTACAACTGTGATTATCAACTGGTGGTCCRTGGGCCTTTTCAAGGCCTTTTCGTGAACCTTTACTGCCAGTGGAAGTGATATTATAAAACTAAAAAATATGTTGGGATTTTTATTATTTATTATTATTTTTACACATCTGGACAAAAGAAAAAATCATTCATGCACAAGAAAAATACAGTATACAGTTGACACAGAATTTCATAAAAACAAGTGCAACTGAACTATTCAGACATTTTTTCTCACTCTGATTTGAGAGAAAGATCATAGAAAAAGTTGGATTATTTAAGTAAACAACAGGCTAGCATGAGCTAACCAACATGTTTTACTTTTTGTAATAGTAGTATTGATCCCATATTTGCATACAATTTATTTCTGTTGCGAGTATAAAAACAAAAATAAAAATATTCTGTCATGTTTGGTCAGATTTTCAAAGAGTCACTGCAGAGGGACCAAAGAACCACATGTGGCCCCAGAGCCGCAGGTTGCAGTCCCCTGGTCCAATCTGCTACTTGTTCCTTGGTCTCGACTAAAGACACTTGAGGATAGAGCATTTCAGATTAAAGCTACTAAATTTTGGAATGCATTACCTCAATAAGAACTGAGGATTCAGTGGAGATTTTTTAAAAAAACAGCTAAAAACTCACCTTTTAAAGCAGACTTTTAATATGACTGTATGAGTTTTAATGTTTGATCAATGCTTTATGGTTGGTCAATGTGTTTTTAATGCTCTGTTGTGTGTTATTCTGGTTTATTGTGAYGCACTGTGTGGCTACTTGACTGAAAATGCTAAACAAATAATGTCTAATGCTTACTTAGAATTGCACAATATACTGAAAAGTTGTTGTCAGTGCTGAATTAGAATCAGAATACGATTTATTTACCAAGTATTTTTACATACAAGGAATTTGACGTGGTGCTGAGGTGCAGAACATGCAACGCAAACAAGGAATAAATAACAAAAGTACAAGGATTTAAAAAAAGAACATGTAAGATATGAAGTAGAGCATCAAGATTAAAGAAGTATGAGAGCACATTTAATACCAATGTTAAGAAGAACTTGGACTGAAGCAGTTTGGTGGCCAAGATGCTAAAACACACAAAAAGTGTTGTGAGTCAGTTTACTTTAAATTGTTTTGTTTTCATTTCTGACATACGTCCAGTAAGACATGTCCAAGGGGCTGCTGTTGGTTCTCGAGCCGTGATTTTATTGCAGYCTCATCAAACTAATTAAATAATTGCACGAGCAGTTCTAACTCATTGTTTAGACTGTGGAAGTTTGTCCACTCATAAGTAAATATAACCATTGTGTTTCGTAGTAATATTTTGCCTGACATTAGGCTGCTAATAAACACCAAGAGTTGCTTTTGAAAATGATTTTTGAAACAAAACTATCATTTGATTGTGGTTTAAAAGTGTAATCACAGTTCACAGATGATTTCTAACATTCTTCTCCTGCACCAAATGTGTCTGRCTGTGGACAAACTTTATCTATAGTTTATGTGCTGTGACACGTTTTTTTTTTTTCAACAAGGTTCATGTCTATAGGCTCACTGACATGCTCAAATATTAGCTTTGGATAGAAACACTTTTTTCTCTCTCATCCTGGCACATATTCCCTGYATGTCAAATATATACAATTTGTTTGTGATTGTGGACTTTGACCCCAGGAGTTATCTGAAAATCCCCTTTTAAACAAACCCTCTGCTCCTGGGCTGAATTTGCTGGTATGATCAGCCTCGGGCAAGCTGGAGATGGTGTGTTTCTCTACGATGGACTGATTTGATTCATTTTAAATAAGTTGGATATCTGTTAAAATCTAGGTCACCACAACAGCAATGATCGTTTTAAGAAGTGAGTTACTTATCATGCTTGATGACACATATTTTAATGGAAACTCTCAGAAAGTGTTTATAGGACGTACAGCWACAACTGATGAACTTTTGGAGTAAACCTGTCTCAAGTTGGAGTCCACAGCTAACCAAACTTGGCAAGTTGAAAAAAGCTATCACTCTGTCGATGTAATAAACACTGAGCTAAAGTTAGCACTCCAGACRGAAGTCATTTGCAGGCCAGATTTGTTTTTACATATATTGCCCATCCCTGTTCAAACTAATCTTGCTTTGTTTAAAACTTTGATGTAAAAAACAACAAACGAACTTCTAAATCCAATCTAACTAGACTATCTTTGCACACATCATTTTAAAGGGATCCACAGTTAGTTGTAACATTAAACTTTATTTGATAAACATGTATATTAACTGTAAAATAAAGACTGTAAAAATACTGTTTAGTTTTGTAATTTTTTTCAAATATATTTTAACACGGCTGGAGCCATTTTATTTATACGTTAAGCATTCTGGGTAAATGATGACATCAACTAGGTCATCGGTGCGAGGCTGCTAGCAAGCTAAATCCACCCTGAAGGTTAATCTTGGACAATATCTGACGATCGACTCTTTTAAATGAAACCAGAGAGCGTTGACAGAGAGGAGAAGGTAGAAATGACTCAGCCTGTAACTGAAAATATGGATGGAGGACAACAGAGCTGCTTCATGGAAGAACCACCCCAGATTAGCACGTTAGCCTTTGCTCTAGCGCCAACGCTATACTGTCTTATATGCATTAGCTCGGCGCTAGCGTGACAAACAAGCTAAACCGAGGTCCTCCATCCATATTTTCAGTTACAGGCTGAGTCATTTCTACCTTCTCCTCTCTGTCAACGCTCTCTGGTTTCATTCAAAAGAGTCGATCGTCAGATATTGTCCAAGATTAACC